TCTGCGGCGTTGCTGATACGTAAGGTCGATTTTAATCCGTCTGCTATCAGCAATGTGTATTAAACAGTGCACGTATAAATGTCTGATGTAATTTATTTTTGAATTAATTATCTCTTATCTGCGTTTCTTAAAAACTAATAAATTGTAATTTTAACATATCAGCTATTACATAGATGATAAGCAAACTATAGTTTTCTCTTGATAGAACGCAAAACTAAGCATATTCGTGTGTATTCTTTTCAAATTAAAACGTTGTAAATATATAATATTAATCATAAATTAATTCTCTATTACCAAACAGGAGACAACATTTTATGTACCTTCTAATTAATAATCTTTTAATAAATTATTACCAGGTAATACGAGTAAAAGGTTAAGCTTCACGCGTTAACGCAGATAACGAGATTATTGGTACACGCGATACATCTTCGTTCACGAAGGAGTTAAAGTAGACCGTAGAGAGGGAAAGCGTCGGATCGATTTTAAAACGTTCCACTGCGCTCTGATTTATCGTGTGAATTTTACCGTAATCCGACATTGATTTTTCTCCTTTCGCTTCGATTTCCGGATTAGAACAAGCGAAATAGTATCAACATCGCTTTGTAACTTCGTTTTACACAACAGCGATATATATATTTTAATCAACGTTTTAAGCGGTTATTCAATGTAATATTTTTTCACGCGTTTTTCGTTAGAATTTATCGCAATTGATAGTTTCGTCATGTTATGTACAAAGACGCGAAAATATGTATTACGGGAAAGTATTATTTATCGATAAAGAATGGTACGATCTGTGTTTATACAATTAATATAAAGTGAAATAATACGAAGTCGCGCGTAGGTGACAGATTGACCCCACACGTGTGTGTCTTGTAATTATTTCTCGCATCAGAAAATTGAGCCTTCTTGTCAGAACAAAGAGAAAGGAATAAGCGCCAGATATATTACTCGGAAAAATCATGACGCAGATAACGCCGCGAAATTGTATTAAAATTTCAGAAAAATTATCCTTCCAAAAATCAAAAAAAAGATTAATGAGTTTCTCAGAGCATATTTGATTTATCATTGCAAACAAACGCTTGTTTCTTGTTGCCATACTCATCACGAGCGCAAGCTATTTCGTACAAGAAACAGCAAATAGTTTGACGACGATGCGAGACAAGAATCTCAAGAGATTTGTTGAGGAAGTTATTAACGCTCAAGTTTGCGTGAGGTTTTTTAATGTCTATCGATTCAACTATTGCCACAGCAAAAGTAATTTAACTATTTTATGCGATTACCACTTTTGCTCACCAGCGTGACTAAAAGCGAGTGCTGTAATCAGTGTAATTAGTGAGAGATGAATTTTTTATCAGCTCTAGATTATTTCTTAACTTTTTTATAAAGCTGTTAATCGAGAAACGAAAAATAAATTATTAAATTCAACTCTACACCTCCGAAATAAATTTTATTCATAATATAAACCTTATTTATAACTATTTAGTGTATTGAAAAGATATTTTATTAATACTCTACGAATATACTTGCAAAAAAATAATTTCAATACTCCATGAAGAACTCCATATTTTTAATATTTTTATTTAGGTTAGATACACATAAAATGCTTGTTTACCAACTTACGTTCAGCACGCAAAAGTACGAAATAAGCTCAAAGCTTATACAGCAAAGTATGCAAAGCAAACAAATATCTACGCAGTCTCGTTGAAAATAATGATTAAAGTTAAGATGATAAAGATGGCCAGTATTTTGTCTCTGTCACATTTATCTTTTTAGCGTGGAGTTTTTATATGAGTTGCGGAAAAAGTAACAAATTTAAGAAAATAATGCAAAATACAGTAATACGGTTTTTAAAAATATTAATAAAAATTAGAGGTATATATAATTTATAATTATATAGAATTGCTCTCTAGAGAATTTTCAAAAATGCAAAGAATTTTAACTATACAAAAGCATGACATTGAAGAGATTAAATGAAATACCATTCGCATTGCTTCATTTTATATAATTTATATTGATATATATTTTAATTATTAAACATTGTAGAAAATTTTAATCAATCATTTGTAACAAAAGAGTTTCGTTATTAGTATTGTCGTATCTAAATTTGCAGCATGTTCTTATACGTTACACCATAATTGTCTTAATTAATATTTTTACTAATAAAATTGATAAAAGAAATACAGTCTTAAACCTTTAATTAAATATTGCGTAGGTATATAAAGTAATTGCAATTTTTAATTTATTATTTTTTGAAAACCATTATTTTTACTTTGTAAATTGCATTGAGTTTTTTGCATAGAGGTTTATTAATTATGAGATTTGAAAATTATATAGTAATTATACCGATTTTCTCTCCTTTCTGCGGACTCGGCGCTAAGTCTTCAAAGACGGAATAATGAAAAGAGTTAATCTTGTTTCAAAGGCTAAATGAGGAGTACTTGGTCGCTCATGCAATTTGATAAACGGATAATAATTGTCAAATTCACGCATATTTCTCCATTGTTATTACAGACAGATGCAAATCATTAATAGAACGGTATTCTCTGACAAATCTAAAATTGGTATCTGTTTTAATGGGAAATCTTAATCAAAATGTAATTGCAGAACTATTTGATAGAAACGATTAAAGAGCGATTCAATAGCTATGAATTGAGAAGCGTTAAATTTTATGCATTTTATGCGTTTATGCATTTATATTATCAGATCAAAAACTTCTATAATATTAAATAGATATAACATACGGTATTCAATCTCAATAAAGCAGTATAAAAAACTATGTATATAGTACGGATACGTCAATGATTAGAACGATAGGAAAGCATGGTGCAGTTTCGTGAAATATATTTTTATATTGTTAAAATTGAAAGAGGCTAGAGATTTTCATCTCTCGATGATTTGACAAATAAATTTTCCACGTAAAAGAACGCCTGAAAACACAGTGCAGTTTTTCAATGCAGATTTCCAATTTAGATGTTATTATCGTGAGAGTGAATAAAATGCACACGAAAGAAAGAACAAAGAACAAACTGTGAACTGCACCGAAATAAATAACAATTTTGGCCCAATCGTGTGTTGTATGCGCTCGATCCTGCATGCGATTGTCAAGCGACTAAAAATCATACACAAGTATTAAAAAAACAAGAAGGAAGGGAAAGAGAAACTTACTCCTCATATATATAGAAATATATGCGTTAAAATAACAAACATTTTAACTGATTTAAAGTAATTTTTTTAATAAAAAAGTTGTTAACAAATAAAAATGTAGAAATTTTCTAGAATTAAAAAATTATATTACAAATAAATAGAAATATTTTATTTTTTAAATTAATATCAAGCGTGTAATTCATCAAGAGTGTAATTTTATTTTCATATAATTACACTCAAAAAATTAACTATAAAACAAAGAAAAAATTTGCAAACGTTACATTGTTTCTTTACGCAATAGTATCCAAATGTGTCAGATATGTGTGCATTTGTTTCTAAAATATTACGTATACATAGAATAATTTAATAAAAGTATTTAATACAATCATGCTACTTAATTCATCAATAAAATAAATAAATTAATTCAATGCATTTAAAAGCTTGCGTATATAATTGTTCGCGGAAATGTCTTGGTGTCAGTTCGCGATGCAAGCTCACAATGCCTCAAAGACGGGAAAACCTCTTTTATTCCTTAGACAAGGTTGTGTGCAGTGTCGATGCGCTTCGTATTGCAAAGTAAGATTTGTGCGGTGTGAAATTAAAAAAGACATCATATATCACGGACGATCTCGTTAAGATAAAAACCATCGCGTGTTACGGCTATAGCGACTTTCGCAACGCTTGGATCTTTAATGAAGATGGTCCTCTCTTATAAGAATTATACATAATAAACCAACCAGCTGTCAGCTTTCGTATCTCACTTCTCAGTGCGGTAACATATTTTGAAATGGCCGGATTTTACAATAACTGTGACGTCTGTGCGTACTCGCCCACGAGTGAAAAACGCCCCTGTGATTTAATAAAGATTTATGAAAACGGTGTACCTTGTTATTTCAGTTTTAAAAACTGGAAAGTGGTCTTGGTTCTTTTTCTACATGATTTCTAGAAAGTCTAAATGTTGAGTATAATTCTAATTCAAAGATGAAAAAAATAAAAGTAGAAAAAAAGGTCACGGAAAACTTAAGTAATAATATAATCGTAGGAAATCGTATTGTATAAGAAATTTAATTATCCTTATTTCTAAAAACAGTTATACTTTTAGTTCAAATTAAATTAAAAAAAAAACTAAATATAATTATGCTCTCTACAAATATCATCCGAAACAAATGTATTAATATACAGAACGTTTTGAAACAACCAAATTCTATCGTAAAAAATATCCGATATATCTCAATTAGAGAACAAAATCATTTATATAGGAACAACAATTAAAAAAAAAAAAAAAAAAAAAAAAACATATGGGACGTGTATCATGCTTAAAAATATATGAATTTGTTATGTCCCTGTGTACATGTGATCATAAAGAAGGATTAAAAAGGAAACATGACTTATAAAAAATCGATAGTTCTCTTCCGTCGTCACAAATTCCTGTATCTTAGCTAAATCTTTCTACTCTTTCGCGTATATTCATGCATCGCACCATTAACGTTAAATTCAATCAATGGGGTCATTTCGCCGAGTATCGCAACGTCACGTTGCATCATCGACGCCCACGATTTATATCGGAAAAATTTTTTTAATGAAGACAATTCCCTCATAGTAAATTCGCGCGTGTAACCAACGCGAAAAAGTCCTCCGCCACCCATCATCCCGGTACTAAAGTGGTGAAGCTAGAGGGATGAACGGGGGCAGGGCAAGAAGAGGACGCTTGCGCCCCATGACCGCGTGGCCGCTTTCTAGCGGCCACCTGTGCGTCCACCCTCCCTCCTTCTCTCTCTCCGTCTCTCTCTCATCCCCCATCGAAAGCAGTACCTTGCTACCATATATATAAAGGGTCCCTCCGTGTCGCCACACTTCGCATCATTCCCGCCGTAACGTGCGAACCACTCAATCTCCGCTCGTTCTTTGTCACCTGTGACTAACTTTCAAGAATTTCGACGCGGTGAGTTTGACAATTTCTTTCTTATAGACGTATGTTCTCTTTTTTTTATCCTTTCTTGTCTTCTTGCTAGGTTCTTTATTTTTATTAATTTATATGTAAGTATCTATGTTTCGAAACTACATCCTTCCGTAAAGAAAGTGTTTCTCGGCAATTCGGCTTAAAAGTGGCGTAAGAATCTGTTGTAGCCAACTTGTATGTAGCTTTGGCTTATATTTGGCACTTAGTGTGCTGGAGTTAAATTACGTGGATTTAAATTCATCGTGTGGACGCGCGTTGAAATATTTTGTATATTTGTATTAAAAGTAATTGTTGAAGAAAAGTGAAATAGTATTAGAAAACGTGTGTTATTTGAATGATATTTGGCACACGTATTTTTTCATATCATTGCTATAATAAATGACAAATTATCATTTGTCAGTTTTCATAATATTTGTGATATAATATTAATGTTAAATTTTACCGTATAAAAATTGTTTTGTTTTTTATTATAACGCGATTCTCCTTGTTGCATCTGTGATTGTAATAAAGCTTCTTTTCAATTTATAAATTGCAAGAATGTGAACCTGATAAACCGGAATGGGCTGTGAAAATTGATCTTACATTAATTTGTAATGTACATTTTTTCACATAGCTTATTTTTTTCTCGTAGCAATCATAGAAAATGCAATTATTTGCTAGTATTTATAGTCAAATATTGATTAAGCTTCTCATCTTAAATACCTGATATTTACGAATAAGTATCAACATATTTGTTATTTGTAAAACGTGTTGGTTATTATATCACATTTAATTTTATTTAATAGCACATTAAAATTATATTTCTTTATTAAGCAGACTGATAACAACACAAATATTTACGTGTAATCGGAAACAAGTTACTACAAATATTACAAGTACTGCAGTTTCTCATACTCTTATCAATTTCATTTATAATTTGTATTTTCAGTAAAAAATACATTACATATAAAACATACAATTGCATAAATAAAACGTTTCTATCAGTTAGTATTCATTTCATACGCGTTTAAATTCTATTGAAAAAAATTGAAAAGTGATATACCCACATCGATTAAAAAAATTCGACATATTGAATCGTATCATTTTTTTACATGACTGAACGATAATATATATATATATAATCATTGCAAAAGATCAGTGAGCAAATCGAATTTATTTTTCAATGTAGAGCAACGTATTTATTTGGAATAATTATTCAAATAATTTATAGCGTTTCAGATAACTATCGTATTACAAACGAATAAAAATTTAACGAAGTAATGAGATACTAAGACTTTTAGTTTATCAAACTTTGTACTTTTTATTGATTTATTGTGAAAGGTGTATAAACAATGGAAAAATTTAGTTTACTTTTAAAACAATAAATAATATTTATAAATTTTTATAAATCTTAATAATAACAAAAATTAAACTATTATGTCTAAAAATATTTGTAGTTCAATGTATATTAAAAATATTAAAAAATAAAACAGTGAAAATATTTAAAGATCAAGATTTAGTTATTGTGTTTTCTTATTTGTTATATATAAATTTTATTATTAAAGTCTAATCAATAAAAAAAAAAACCAAACAGCATTTAAATGCTGTAATTATTGTACGTGTGTTCAATCAATAGCGATTTAAACAAAAACGCTTTTGTATCCCTATAAAAATTGAATGTGCTGCCTTTACGATTATGATGTACATAATCCATTGAAAATATCGATGGCAAAGTCATTATTATTTTTTATCGTAACGTAATAGGTGATAAATTACTAACATAGGTCAAAGACATAAAACAGAGGACGAAAGAAGATTGATATAATTTTGTAGCTAGATTATATCTACACATTGCTAGCTGGATATTTGCAAACTGTAGAATATAGAAAAAATGTATTAAAATTGTATAATTATTTTCAACAAGTTAACTACGATACACCGTTCCATGTTTAATTTGATGCAAACTATTATTGCTGATTTTTTTCATTTAATATTTAGCATTAAATGTATTCGACAGCTGCAAATTGTGACAATATTTCCAATATTTGTTTTTTTAACGTGCTCCTTTGTGTGTGTGTGTGTGTGTGTGTGTGTGTGTGTGCACCACTATATTTCAACGAAATCTCAAACAAAAACATTTGGTAGCATTTATTCCGATATTGCATAAAAAAACGAACTAAAAATAAAAGTAATTAATTACATATGAAATTTAATACAATAAAAATATTGTGATAATATTCTGTATTTCAAACATTATAAACATTATAAATATTACAATGTTATATAAAATTAAGTGTTGTTTGTAAGAATTTAAGTATTATTTATAAGAAATTAAGTAAATATTTTATAAATATAAAATTATAATATCTAAAACTCTTTTGTTATCAGTTTTATAATTTTTATATTATTTTGTCATTAAATAATGTGCACACACACACACACACACACACACACACACACACACACACACACACACACACACACACACACACAAAATTAGAGTAAAAAATATATGCAAACTTGGATATTTATATAATTTGTTCGTACATGTAACAGTGCTGTAAATTTTAAAATTCTCTTTTCTGAAAATATAACTTTCTGCTTTACGTTCACATTTTAACAAACTTCTCAACTAGAAATACGTATATGAAACACACCCACTACGTGTTAAATACCAGTGGCATTGTGTGACCAAAATTCATCTAACTTAAACGTTACCCCGGCATACGTACATTGTACTGACACATGTACTTATGCAATCAAAGTTATCTGGAGTGAATAGCTTGGAAATTTAAGAGAACAATAAATAATTGTAGGAAGTAAAAGTCAGCATCGTTCGCAGTATCTGTTGCATAAATGAGAATTTCTCGAGATATTTAAAAAAAAAGAAACAGCTTCTAAAATATAACTTCGCAATGTAAGCAGTCACAAAATCAATACACTCACAATGCACATTGCGCAACAAACTGTGCTTCTTATCACTGCTTAATTAAAACTCGTAAATGATTAATTAACGCAGAAGATAATTATCGGGAGATATAGTTACATAAAGGCTTAATGTCGACAAAGTTACGATAATCAATTTATTTCCCATGGTTTTCCTACTTACTTACTAATCTTCACTGATTATACAACAAATTTAGTTTCTCTTAGCGCTAACACGTAAATATATTAAAAGTCAATATAAGCGGTGTATCCGTGAGCAAAGTCAGTCGGTATGCAAAAATACAATTTCGCTCTTCAGATCTTTAGCGAAACTCGTGAATTATTTATGTTCTTTAAAAGCCCGCGGCATATTCCGAGAAAAAAGATGGGCAATTATTATCCCGGAAAGCTCGACAAGGAAATTGCCGTTAATCAAAGTTGAGGAATGCCGGGATATGCCTCTACATTAGTATTATCTATCGGCGTCATAAAACTTTGGAATTTTCTGATTATGGTTTACTCGTTTGCTTTCTCAAAAGATAAAATATTTCATCCGTAAACAGTAATAAGAAAAATACCAGAGGCCATCTAAAGATTTAAATTATTATTTGTTCTTATCATTTTATGCAAACTTGTTTCTTTAACGATTGCATTACTTTAACAAACTTTTAATTAGTTATAGTTATCGAGAAGATTTTTAATAAAAAATTTTAAAAATGGTGAATGAAGTATTTACCATTAAATTTTCGACATCTAATCCAATAAAATAATTTTAATCTTAATCTTGATATTTCTACAAAGAAATAATTACTACAAAGGGATAGTAAAGTGTCTTAAAATTTATTGTAATACGCGGAAAAATTTTATATATCTTACAAAACAATCTGTATGAAATTCATACAGTTGAGAAATCGATGGCAAGGCATATCCGCTTATATTATAAAGCAATTATTCACTGACGTGTATGTTCGATAAGTGTGCGTTCATTGAATGTACGAAACGATTAAACGGATTTACCTCGTTAAATGCGGCGTGAGTAATCAACGAGTTATATGTTGTAATGCGTAGAGTTGGCGCCGAATTGAGATCGACAACTTGGGGTCTGTCATGTACTACAACAGTTAAATATATCGCGACGTAAATAACGATGTAAGCTACATGGATTTTAAATTACAGTCGGACAAGTTTCAAATATATTTGTTCGGGAATAAGAAATACTATTTTGTATTTTATGTGTATTGTGTACGAATCAAATCTTAGAGAATATTAAGTTGCATTTTTAAACTCGTTTTATTTATTTATAACATATAATTCTGATTGCATTTAAAAATTCTCATCTGATTCTACGATATTTTATTTGTTGAATAGATATTCTTCGATATATATAACCCACCATTATTTGTTCAAAAGTGAGAATTCAGGCGTAAGGGATATGATGCGTAAAATGTAAAAAATACATATTATGAAATTTCTGTTATTTTCCTGAATGAATGCTCTCGCCTGAAGAAAAATATTATATTGTTTTCGTATCGCATAATTTATTCATAATATAATTTATATTCTTGGATAAAAAAAAGCTCGCCATCTCAGCTAGATGAGTTGTAATATCGTTCGAATGTTAATATTCTGAGAATTTTTAATGAACTTTTAGCGACAAGGGAATGAAAGTTATATTTGCATTAATTTGCAGTTGACTTCAATTTTCATCTTCGGTAAACAAAACATAATATTTAACATATTCATCGCGTGATTGATGTTAAAGATAAGAATGGCGAAACTTTAACGCGACGTCGCACTTATCACAACAAATGTCACAAGAAAAATCGTTAGAGTTTGAATGAACGTTATTCATTGTGCAAATACGTGGAAAATACGGGAACTCGTATTATCGGCCGTGTATAAATTTTACGGGCGGAGGCGCAGATTACGTAGCAACACAGATGTTATACATAGCGGAAGCTCTCATCCTGTGGTTGCCTCTGCATTAATGGGAGTTGTCTCCGGATTAATACGTTGCGTGTAACATAGATCAGGACGCTTGCACAAATATCCTCACTGTGAGTCACATGATGTGTAATTGTAATTGTAATAAATTAAATGAAATTAATTTCAATATGAGAGTATCATGTTCACGCGACGCTTTCAAGTATGTCGTCCAATTTATTACTGCGCCCGCAAAAAATAAACGCGTATTTGCAGTTAATTCTAAAATATAATTCGCGCACGTATTCGTAGTTTCGTGCTGGCAATCTGCTTCTAAGTAGAATTAATTATAATTCGATGCATTATTCAGAAGATACGGCGTCGATGCTGATGGTTTTCTTTCTACTCTCTGTCACTTTCCTATCTCTTGTAAGTCTCATTACATGATATAAATAAGAAAATAGCTAATGGAGTTGATTAGATATCAGCATTGAAACATAGTTTGTTAATATTTTAATTTCTACAATGTTAATAATGTCAGCTTATGAATTGATAAAATGATAAAATCGTAAGCGCGTTTCGAAATGAGCTGAGATTCTCTGAAAAAAAGACACTTTTAAAACTTCATAGATATACTCGTGTTATGTAAAAAAATCTATTAATAACAATTTTGACTAATGATAAAAATTATAAAATTATTTTAGTAGCTTTCATTGTTAATAAACTGCTGTAAACGTGCTAAAGTAAATAAAATATAAATAATTCCAGTTCAAAATTATTAACAACGTTGATTTGTGTACATTAGTAACTCGGAAATAAAAATAAACAAATTACATTTAGGTAGCTCTTTACGACAGACAGGAGGATGATTTTGTATGATAAAATTATTATAATAGCACTCGGAGGGTTGCGTTTTCCGCATGCGATGTATCTCGCACCGGCATGTTATTTAACGGTGAAGCCCGCACTCGACGATTGTTACTGTGTAGTAGCGGTCTCGAATTTATCTTCACATTCGTCAAACGTTAAAATGTCGCGTGGAGAAATTATGCCAGCGACAGATGTTGCATAATTCCAATGGAACCGAAGCTTCTGCAAAACGCAAACTACATAGCGAAATAAAACCACTATCGTTTATCGCGTTGCATCGCTCATTGTTCGAATTGTGAAATATCTGACAATCTTTTATTCCCCGTATTGTAAAATACTGTGCTACATCGATTAGATAAGGTGTGCGATGCGTATGCGCATTTTCGCAACGTATTGGTGTGTCTGCGAAGCTGGCCACAAGAAATAAAATAGGATCGTTTGCTTGATTGCAGGGGATACGAGCACTATGTACGTTAAACGCTACACTGCTTTCGTTCTTTTTGCCGTGATAGTTGGCCTTGTTGGAGCTATTGAAAATTACATGGATTATGGAGGTATGTTATAATTACTTATAATTACTTATAAATAATTTACTATTCATTTAAAATACTATCACAATATTTATTTCGATAGCAAAATAAACTTGCTAATTTATCAATAAATTCAATATATGTTTTTGAATAAAAATTTTCGCATTTCTTACGGCTTCATGAATGGCAAATAGAATTATTGAACCATTACGGAAAATATGAGAAATTCTCGGAGATTAACGCCAATTGCGACAAACTCGTATCTTTTGATCGCTACACGGTCTTTTTTTATTTTTTATTTTTTTTCCGATTAACAAGATCCTATTAATTCGAATCGTATGATCAATTCTTATTGCTCTTATAATTAATTCTAAAATAGACAAAAAACCTCGAATTATTACTTGTAAAAAATCCTCTTGCTTACACATTAATTAATATAATATTATTATTATATACATAAATGTACCAATTTATATTTATATTTCCTTGTTAGTGCTTTGTAAGCAGATTATGCTATTTTCGAAGCAAACTTCTTATAGCTACTAATTCGAAATTCATTATTCTAACAAACTTGCGAGATTGCTTAATTCTTCTAAATTGAATATTCTCTTGTATTTATTTAATATACTTTCATACTCTGCGTTTTTCTGAGTTATTCCCTTGTCACATTGTAAATCTCATTAAAGTTTCACTCTCATTTGGCATGATAACGCATTTGTATTCCATTACGGGTTACGCTGAATATCAACGCGAGACCGTCACCAACGTATTTCCCATCATAATAATTAATAAATGCAGCTTATTAAGATTGGCGTCTAGAGCACAGCAAAAAAATGTATATTATTCAATCTTTCATTGCGTAACATTTGTTGATGTGACGATTACATCTTGTTATATTATATTTATGTGAAATTTGCTTTTATCTTCATGTGCACGTATAAAATAATTTATTAATCCGTAGAAATAATTTTTTTTGTATTACAATATCAACTGCATACAGCATATTAATTCGTAACCAGTTTTCATAACAGATTTTTCCTATTATCCATATAAAGCAAAATTTTTCAAGCCAAATATTAAAATATTAATGGTTTTATAAGCAAATAAAAATAAAAACATTTATATGCAAAATATACTTCAAACAAATGAAAAACTCTATATTTTAAATAAAAAAATATACATAAAAGATCGGGTTTGTTAAAATTTGTCTTAAAATGTTTGTATTAAATTAGACGTATCTTCTGGACGCAGATTAGATTACGTCGAACGCGATTGGCGGTCAAAAATTAAATAGCACTGACACTGCGAGATACATAGATTTGTGACGCACGCTATTCGATCGGGCCGTATCGATCGTTGCGCGTGTCACTTTAATGATTGCTCTAACCGCGCATGTGATTAGTCAAATCTCTCTATTCAGTAATCGCACATAAGAGGATCGTGTTCTATTACGCGATTTCTCTGAACATGCCGAAATAATCTCGTTATAACATAGCTATTTCAGGTGAGTTACTCATTAGCTTTTTGTTATAAGCGTCTCATCAATATGTGGCCACTCATACACTGAGAGAAAAGAACAATTGCAATAACCATAATCTATAGTGTTTTTTGGCGCCAATATTTTTATAGGCATTCTAACTATATAGTTGATTGTATGATTGACAATACCATACGTATAAGATTATTATTGCTAACATTATAGTAACAATTTCTATAAAAATGAATATTCCGATTATAATTATAGTCCCAAATATCATATACTTTTCTCTCAATAAATCCCGATAATTTTCTTGCAAATTGTAAAAATGCTCAACAACAAGCAGCATAAATTATGGAGGGAAAGAAAATACAAGTTGTCTTGTCGAAGAAGATATTTTGTTTTAATGTATTATTAAATGTGTTAGAAATTGTATAGTATTATAAAAGAGAGAGAGAGAGAGAGAGAGAGAGAGAGAGAGAGAGACAGAGAGAGAGCACGCAGGCAACTTAGCTTCACGAAGATAATAAAATTTCACGTAATGCAATCCGCATTATTATACGAAAAATAATATAGTAATTATGACAGTTAACAGGTATATTAAAAAACTCCTTCTTTAAAGCCTTTCTTTTTCTAGAACCATTAATTCACATTCAGCGTGAGGATTAAAGCAACGCAGTTGCTTTGTTGTTTTTTCGATGTTTTATAATTTGTTTTGCAAGAAGCCGGATTTATCTGATGGCTTGTGCACGAGTTGCGGTTTTCGATAAAAAAGCGCATCGCCCATACGTTTTACATCACTGCGTGTCCTCGAATTTTACCACGCAAGTTTTTGCCACAGAGTTGAGAGGTGCCTATCCAATCGGAAAATGGTTCCCTGTTTGCCTTTGTGGGATATCGAAACGAGCGGGAAAATTCTATCATCTGTGTTCCCGCAAGGTCGATATGCAGTCTGTTATAACGAAAAAAAGTCATCTCTCTTATTTGCGGTGCCTGAGAATACTCCGAAAAATATGCCGCGATATTTATTTTGAGTTTTTCCCGCTTTTTTAGGATTCTCAAACATGGATGTATTTTCAGTGATATAGGAACATGTCATTTCAAAATGCCCAATGTTTTGATCCTGGTTTACGAATATATTACAAATTATAACTGAATTTATTAATGCACACAATATAAATTAGAAAAATAGCTCGGAAGCTTTTTAAAATGTTCGAAAAATATTTATCTATAATTAACAAAAAATGTTTATAAAAATCGCGCACCCTTGCTCGTAAGAAATAAAATTAATACCGATAGCATCAACTCTGAATCCACATACGTGTAACTATGTATCACTGTACATCTGTATGATAAATGACACGTCAGATAACGTTATCACCGCCGATGAAAAATTTTTTTATAGAACGATCTATGCGGACGAATAAAAGTGAATAATCGTTATAACGCGCATTATATATATACGATAGTAACCGTATAAATGCCCACCAATTCGTATGACCCTATGCGCTCATACGAAGAACGCTACTTATCGTAAAGCAGTTTAATGCCGCATAAAACGAGCGTCCTTGTAAAGCGTCATACTTTCTCTCCATTTTTCGTGTAACAGTAGCCGCATGTATATCCATACTGATTTACAATTTTTTTTTTTTTTTTTTTTTTTTTGCAAGAAAACTCGTGCATCTGTCATAAAATTGCGTAGTAGCGATTCTAGATATTGAGTTCCAGATATTGAGCTTTATCAATGATCAGTATCATTCTTCTTAACAAGAGAATGCTTATGCGAAGATTCATTTGCAATAAAGCTTCCTGGCATCAGCAGTGACTGGAATACAGCAACGTGTAATATTCGATACATCAATCATACGTCAGTATGAACGTTATTAAAACATTCAATTCAACTCCGTCTTACGGTGGAATTTGCCTACGCCATTATTGATTACACCGATCAATATCATAAATAATACATAATGAGAAAAGACGTGTCATTCATCAACATTGCCTTATTTCCTGTTTCGCAATATCGGTGATTACTTCCGCGTATCACACCTGTTTGCGAATATACATTACAGAAGAAATGGCGGAGAAAACGTCTGCGGACAACATTCACGAGTTGGTCAGGCAACTTCTCATGCAACGCAATGCATTGGACAACGCTGGCCTCGGCAATGTTCTGCCGCGGAACATAGCACTGGAACACCTAATGATTCGGAAGTCGCAGAGATCGCCGTCGCTACGTCTTCGATTTGGCCGTTCCGGACCACATGTTTCCGTAAGTTCTTATCATTACGAATCACTAGTGTAAATATAATCCACGTAAACATCTTTTTGCATTTTAATTTTTAAAGGAAATGTACGATCTCTCACAAATATTGAAAATATATCTTAGATTGAATTATTTTCAATTCATTTTTTCACATTATATTTTTCAAATTAAAGTGACGCAAATGTTCGCTTTTGTCTCTAATATGTTTTATGATATACGGGCGCGGAGCCTGGATGTTACTAAAACACTGCGCCTTTTCTATTATGCAAACAACAAGTCCACACCATTTAGGTCTTAACAGTAAAGTAAGCTTAGTAAGCTATAAGATGTCTCTATTATATATTATTCAGGTTGGCGATGTTAAATCCTTAAAATATATACATACATGATATTTATGTAAGCTTTCTATTATTATTATTATAATTTCTTGTTTTATAAATAATTTTAGAACACTGGCATTAAAGAAAACATTTTTAAGTTTAAATTGTTTTGTCACTTCTTTTATACATATGTTTAATACCTTCTTTATATTTTTTATCATAATATAATTTAACGTTTTGATAAAAATATTAATTCATAAGATTATTGTATCAGGCCCCGTAAAAAGTTCTGTCGTTTTTTTTTCAAAGCGTCTGTTTACTCGCTGTAATTCCTACACATTTGTTTCGATGGAATCATGATCTTTTGTATTTAAAACAAATTTGTTTTACAAAATAAGATATTCAAAACTGATCCAGTTGCTATTATGTATTCGTTAACGCAGTATTAAAATGGTAGACCGCGAAACGAGAATTCTCTCATTGTCAGTATTATATTATGAGTTTAAGCTCGGACTTAAAAGGACAAAAGCGGCTCGTAAAATATGACAAGTGTTTGGAGAAGACGTCATTTTCGATTGGAAAGTACAAGTTTGGTTCGGCAAATTTCGCTCGGAAGATGAATCCCTTTTAGACGATCCTAGATCGGGAAAGCTGGGAGTAATCGATAAACTTCAAGAGTTAATCGAGTCCGATTCATGCCAAACCTGTTTAGAATTGACGTCTAAATTCAATATATCAGAACCTACCGCCAGGAACCATCTTCATGATATAGGAATTACAGCGAGGTAAAACAAGACGAGAGGACTTTTTGCGAGGCTTCATATTTTGATGGTTTGAATTTATAAGCTAATTATACGGATTCGTGCAATACATTACGTTGAATAATTTGCAATATGCCATTTTTTTCTCATTTGTTTTTCAATTTGAAAATTATCTTTTATGCATTTAAGCACTTAAAATTTATTTAAACATTTAAAAACAGAAATAACGGCAAAATTTTACCGCAAGATAACCTAATTATAAAAAAAAATAAAGCTAATTGAGCTAATAAGCGAAAAAGAATTGAAGAAATTTTTATAATTTCGATATACACATTCAAATTGATTTCAATAAAATTCTCTTTGAAATGGATACGCTTGTTTCGCATGGATTATGGAATTACTTTTGTTTTCGTAGCATTCGTGGTTTAATTTGTAATGGTTTTCGAGTCCCCTTTGCGTTCTAATCTTAATGTAACGCGTATTTCCTGAGAGATTAATTTTCTCGTAATTAGTGAGAGTGACGCAGTTCTCGCGAACTAAAGTGTTACCGCGATGTGCATGCTGGTTGTCTCACAGGACATGACAGGAGATAACGTAGTAATTAGAAAAATAAGGAAATTGAAACTGTTCCCCTAAAGAATATTTGGCGTGTTAAAATGTTAATGAGGAGACGTGACAGAATCACAAGTTTTAATTGCTTGGGTAGAAAATGTTGGACGTGTTTATATAAAACACGTGTAACATTATTTCATTAAAAATAAAAGGTGTTCCAGACTTTTTGCATTTTCTTCTATTTATAAGTTTTTTGAAAGTCAGTTTTCAATTATCCATTTTAATTCGACATTACTTTATCAATAATGTTTGATCGTCCTATTATGCTATCATTCTCATATTCGGAGAAATACTGTTCTTTTTGTACAGTTTAGACATTTCAAAATTAGTTCACAAAAACTTGGTTTTCTGCACTTGTTAATTGCCACTTGCGCACATACTGCTCATATGACAGAATGTCCTAGATTCGCCGAACATGTTCAAAAAAACTGTTAAACGCATGAAAGAAATTGCGGGAAAACTCGCCCGTTCTGAGGAACTTTTTTATATATTAATTCTTCTAATCTAATATCTCTGTTAATAACATACGAGTGCAAATATTCAACGAACAAAATTTGCTTCGTTTCAGTGCATGCGCTTTAATATGGGAGATGAGTAAACTGCATTTTACAGTTATGCCATTTCGGTTGTAGTGGAGGATGCTTTTGCCCGCTTCTATCACTACCTAAAGAGAGGAATGCAATTTTATCGCGTATCAAGTCTCTACGAGAAATGTTTTAATAAATCAATTTTGCCCTTCTTTCTTTTCAGCTTCAAATTTTACTTTATTACGCTCCGGAATTACGTGCAGGCGTATGAAACATTACGCGAAGCGTATGAAGATACATATCTCCGTGTTCATAATTCGCAGTATGTTCGCTCGAAAGTCTGCCGCTGTACCGGGGAAAGAGTAGATACGGAATTTTCATCTTCAAAAGCCTGGCGGAATAACATTATGTTGTCTTGTGCTCGACGAAGCGTGCGACCTTTTTCTAACAAAGGTGTATTGTCTTGTCCACACGTCGGAGAACGTGTAGACAAGTTTTTTCCCGTGATCGATATGGATATGCCAAAAAAAACATTAATCGTACGGCGAGAATGTCAAGGAACCGACGATATTTTCCTTTTTTTTTGTAGTAAAGATGATGTTCAAAGGTTAATGTTGATCTCATGTTCAGTATTGTCGCGATAGAATAATGTGTACTCATCTTGAACATTTATTCCGGTCTATAGAGTATATAAAACGCTATTAATTCTAAGAGAAAACACCTAATCATCTAATCATATTAAAACTTTTTTGAAGACTCTGAGAGTTATCTGCTCTGTACTTAAGAAAGAAATATATTTTATTCCTTATGTATGTGTAAAAGATGATGAATAATTATGAGAAAAATATGAGTCACTCAAGTGTTTCGAAAAATTACAAATGACCATCATAATTTAATAAAACGAGTGTATCTTCCAACGATATGAACAAGCGAAAGAGACTTCTAGACCACTAATCTTCCCGACAGAGTTCACGCGTTTGAGTGTCACGAGAGAAAAACTTTTTTCCACTGAATTTAACACATTCTATTTCGCAAAAGTTTTCCCTGTCACGCATGGAACATGATATTGCAAACTTGTGCGGGAGATATTGTCGACAATCATAGTTGAGATGAAGAAGTATAAATTTTTGAGAGTGACGTAATGCATTACTGAAATTCTTATCTACCTTAGCAAAGGTTCATTAACCGAAATTCGATCTGTCGATTTGATTCGACACGTGAACGTTATTCATAATACACAACGCGAAGAAAAGTACTTCTTTCTTAATATCATGTGCATTTATATAAAATGACGTAGCTAATAACGATAATAACGACGATAAAATAATATTTTTGGAATAATGTGCGATAAAACGCTCAAATTAAATGACGCATTCAGGGTAATAATGTAATTTGCATAAATTACTAAACAAGATACAATTATGTAAATTATAATAACGAAGAAAGATACTTCTCTAATGAAAATTGGTCTTTATCGTTCCTTCTATCATTTAATCATGTTGCACATGCCTTTTCCTGAAAAGACTGTATTAAGTGTCATTTGTATCAAGAAGATCTTTTCTTCGTCGACCGCTAATCTTCTCTAAATTATACTTGATTGATGTTTTCATCTTTTATTGATCGCGATTACACGAGTCGCGACTACACTTGTCTTTTGATAATTTTCTATAAACTTGTTAGAGCCAGACAACATATTTTGTAGAACTTGTGAATAGAGTATTTAATTATTAACATGTATTTTTTTTCATTAAATAACGCACGATGCATTTGTTCAATGTAGGTTATTATTGTTTGGTTTTATACGTGGGGAAGAGAAAGAGAGTAGTTTTAGTTACGAGAGTGCTTTAATTGTCTAAATATTTACGCTACAATTAACTTTTTGGTGATTAAAACTTCGAAGTAAAACATTTCAGTTGACTTGTAATAATTATTGTGATTCCGGAAGGTCAGTCATAGCGTAAATATTAATGTGTGACAAATATGCCGCACCGTTGAAACTGTATCACTTAACTAATATCAATTTTAATTATTACGTATCGATATAATATTTCAATTTGTACTTTATTCCCCGTCTTTTACTTCAACATTTTATTCTACATCGATATATGAAAATGACAGTCCGTTTCTCGTCGCACAAAGGTAGTCTTTGCACAAGCTGAATATTCCTTTTGGTTTCCATTTATTCACTATTAAACTGGGATGGCAAGTGAATCACGGCGGCGCGCAATTAACTAGATTTTCACGAGCAATTAAGTAATTAGCATTCCTCGCGGTGTGTTTCAGGCGGGAGCCCTGCTGAGACCCGTGGGCGCAGCGGCGGGATACGACGACGACAATTAATCGGCGGAGCTGATCCAGGAGCACTTTCCAATTCGTTCTTGATGAAAACGCGACTACCCTCTCTTGTATAAATTATGTATAGCTCGTCTTGTGCTCTGTTCTGCGCGTCCATTCGCAGGTCGGGCTTTCTGAAGCTCTCGCGTTTTATTCTTCAAAAAGTGAAAAGGGAAAAAGAATTTGCGCGTCACAATCGTATAATCTGACGATTAATTAAATATATAAAGAAATAGTGTATAATTTATTATTCGCAGTTGCGTGATTTATACGTACGTATTATTTAAAGTGATGCATATTTTTAACGCGACAGTCATTTCGCATATATTCAATAGTGATTAATTGCATACGCGTAATTCTTTTACTTTGTACGGAGTTTTATGGAATCCGTGATGTATGCAATTCATCTTAGAGATCACGTTCTATAAAATTGTTTTTACTTTGCACAATTGCGCCAATTGTCGTCATGATTTTATATCACTGCTTTCGTTAATTAGTGACAGCGCTATAAAAGGACACTTGGCCTAAAGTCCTTCATTCGATGTAGAATAACAATCTAAACGCTTCGATCGTTACGAACGCAATTGTTCGTCCCTTAATTACGCGCATTGGCACAGAGATGTAGAAATACTTTGCGTTTCGTGCAATAACACACAAGACGTCTCAGACTCTCCGGGAAATCTGTCAACGACAAACAGATTGAATGACAAAAGTGATAAATTTGTTGATTTTTCTTCGGGATAAACTGATACGTAACTTTTTAATCGTTAAACTTATCCTGGTTAAGTTTACTTAAATTTGTGTTTGTGAACTAATTGGTGTATAATTTATTGCCAATCTATACGGGCACTTAAAGTTTAATTTCACAAGACCTTTCATTAATTAATTTCGTAATTAAACTTTTTACTAAATACTCTTTAAAGAAAGTTGAGGAATTTGTTATAGTATTCGATCCGAAGAAGAGAGATGAAGGGACAGATTATTCTGGAACATTAATTTTCAACAGCTGGCCTGTTGGTCTATCAATCGATTAATAGGCGTAGTCTTTCGATAAATGTGCCAAATAATATGATTGTTGTATTATGTATTAATAAAGTCCTGCATTCTCCATAATACATATATACAGAGCAGACTAAAACTGCTGTGACAATTTAAAAATTTCACGCGTATAATGGGGAAATCGACTGCAAAATCTGTATAGATCGAAATTAATAATTGAATTATATCTGTGTAAAATATGGACTAGTTATTCGCCACAAAGAGGGTCGCGTCCTAAATATGTGAATATGTCAATTTGCAAAATTAAAAATAAATTATTATGTAACACTGTGTCACATTTATTCCTCTGCAGCAAATGTGTTCTACAAGATTCTTCATCCCCCATAAATCTCGCGACAAAGTATTTTCTATTCTACTTCGCGCCTACAATTGTGTTATAAGATAATAGCAATTTTGACGCGGATAAATTTTCACGCTCGTAGCGGTAGTGATATAAACACAGGAAGGGCTAAGGAAACACTTAAGCCACGTCATTAAAGCGATTTTCTCCTGCTCTAATTAAATTAAAAAGCCCGTGAGCTCAAGAATTAGACGCCCCAATAAAATCAGAATTGAAAACTTTCGACGCTGCGAATAGTTTGCACTGAGAATGAGTTTCACTGAAGAAATTGTATAATCGTCATTGCTGAATACACTATGCAAAATGCAAAACCAACAAATTATTTTATTGCATTTCTTCAAAAATCATTAATGCCAGAAAAAAGTCTCGTAAGAACGAAAACATCTTTACATTTTGCAGCATTATTTTATTGAAGAAATATTCCATTGATTAATTGAGATCTAAACCTAATTAAATTGGTTACAGAAAAATTATTATTTATACTATATGTAAATAATTTATTTAAAATGTGCTGACCTGACAAACGAGCAGAGTCTTTTGATCGATTGCACCGCTTCTTTATCTTCGTGATTAAGATCTCCGACATTTTTTAATTCCGGTCTTAAAAGAACTTGACTTCGTACACGCTCTAGAGTAATCGACAAAGGCATCATTAAGACTCTCGACCAATTTGTCGCCTCGTAATTAGCCATAAACTGAAATGTACAGATGCGATTATTTGCAATATGATGTACAGTTCAATGTTCCTGGAGAAACATTTTAATCTATAATTTATTATGAAAATGTGGAAAATTTACTAACTTGATCGAAGCACGCGTCCTCGATATGAAACATTATATGTGTGAGAGGTTTTATGATGGGCGAGACTTCCGGCAAATTAAACAAATCTGTCTGTCTATTCTTTTCATCGCAATGTAAATTATTTAGTATCCAATCAGACGCCCGAATAATATATTCGTGTGTAATCTGATAAAAAATATGTAAATATCAATTTATTCATTTTTAACATGAAAAATATACGAAAAAGACACCCGAGCATTTCTAGCAATGATTTGCTTTACTCACTTTTAAGGAACGCCGTCCAGTATTCGTAAACAACAATTCGTCCGTATACGTCTCGATAACACACATCATGTTTTGTAACTCGTTGTTTCTCGCATTCTGATCTTCTCTTCCGAGGCTGTAATATCAATTTTTGCTTTAAATAAAATAAAACAGAAAATACAAAATTTTTAATTAATAATTTACGTAGATTATAATTAAATTACGATAGTAATTATGTTAATTCTTAAATAGTATTAAACTCTGCAAGTTTCTTACAAGTTTTTTAATATCTCTTTTAAAATAGCAAATACTTTAGCAATCAGATTCCTCACAATTATATGTTTCTTAAGAATATAATGAATAAATCTGCCATTTTAATTAATAAACTTTTTAAGGAAGTAATATTTTTTTTTTATAAAATTTTTATAAGTAATAATAATATGATTGATAAAATTCTTCACACCTCAAAAAATCGATTGTTTTCATCAATCAGAAAATATCTATCATTATCTACTATTATAAAAAGTGACTGTGAGATAACTTGAAGTCTTTTAATATTAAAAGGAACGCACCTGTTTTTTATAAGGAGCAAAAAGGAGTCTATTTGCGCCGTATGTTTATTGTCCTCATCGATGCTGCAAATCGCTTCGGCGAGCGCCGTGGCGGCTGTCGATCTGTCGTACGGATTGAAAGGGCTCAACTCGCAGTTTGTGTCTTCGAAGCTTGGTGCACCTTGAGGTTCGTCTTTGTTCTTCGCAGATACATCCAGGAGAGTGGAATACAAAGCGGTACACAATACTTGAAGCAAAACGTTTCCGCCAATCGGCCGACAATGCGCGGGAATGTTATCGTTAATGGTAAACGCAGCACGCAAAATAGGAGTTGAGACCGTCACGTACAATTCGGCGAAGCATCCAATTGCTAGAGACATAGCTTGATATATGCTGGCGCCTGTCTGAAGATAATTTATCGGAATTTATCTAGGTGCTAAATTGCACTAGATGTATTAAACTTTGCAATACAACAAATTTCCTAATTTATTCCGCTCTTTGCACTCGCTACGACTTTGATATTATCAGAAATGTCAGCGAAAAACTAAACAGTAATATTATTGTAGAAGACATAAATCATTGAATGCATTAGATCACATTGCGTATAAGCGGTGATATATGATAATTACTTTCGCAGCTTCCAAAAGCATCTCGACTACCGGCTGCATCATGGTCTTGAGTGGTTTTACCAACGCGTTAAGCCAGGGAGGCCTCGACTGATTCCAGACCTTAAAATGACAAGCAAATTATTTATTTATTAAATCAATATATACATATTATGATGTTTTCTAAAAAATAAAAATTAAAAAATTGAATATTTAAAGAAGAGAATACAAGCTCTTAAAATTATTTCTCATTGTATAAAAAAAATGCGAAAAATGTCTTTTCCATTTTTTTTTTCATATAAATGTTGCTAGAATTATAATTTGATACTCCTAAAAATGTTTATTTTAAGCGGCGTTAATAACTTGTTTTACGTCATACTTGCATTTATTAAAATAAAATTAATTCAAATTATATCGTATTAAGTTCACTCTTATATCACGCAAATACTATTTTAATGAAAATTGTTATACATTTACACGATTAACCCTTCGTATGATATTTCGTAAAAGCACACCTGTTGTCTGTCCAGATAATTGGACCAGTTTGCATCCTGCTTCAACGCCGGTATAATTACTTGCTCTGGTTCGTTAACGGTTATCACCAATATATGAAATAAGCTATATAATGCCAAGGCTGAAGTTAATTTAAGTGATTTATTACACGCCGAGCCGTTGCATAAAAAGCCGCCGCAACTTTTATCGTCTTTCTTTGATTTATCAATTGCGTCACTATCGTCGACACACGTGAAGCCCACGTTTTGACGTACTAAAGTCTTCAGCAACATCTTCGCCACGACGTAATTGTTCATCGATATTACCTGCAAATAAAATAAAATTTTATAGTAACGCGGATCCAAAAATAACTAGTTTTATCAAGATTTTATGTTAGTAATAACTTTCATCAACTGCGGCCAGCTAGGTTGAGGTTGATGCCTCATAACATTTAACTCAAGAATGACAGTTTTGTCCTCGGATAGTGTTACGATATCAGCTGGAGAATCAATCGCGCCTAATAAATTTGGAGCGCATATTAGCAGCCAAGGCGACGGACCACGTCGGGGTTGCAATATCGCCAAATTTTTTAATCCATGTCTGAAAATCTAAACAATTATTTATCGTTAAATACAGAAACTTCACCCTTGCCGTTATTAATTATACAAATTTCAATTTCACAAAATATACCCGAGCCCCAGAATACACTAATAAACAGTTTCTATTTTTTATTTAAATATCTCATGCGCGTTCTCCGAAAATTTTCTATATACGTTGGCACACATTAAGTTAATTACTCCTTCATAAATAACAATTTATATATTTTTTATTATTTGATAGAATATGTTTTCAAAAAATTCGCTCGATAGTACCTGATATAATTCTTTGAGAGGGGTGCCTCTAAGCAGCAAGCAGATTAACAGCTCGTTACATTTTGCGTGTATATCTCTTACAGCTGTCGACAAATTATTCGGTCGTGCGCCTATCATTTCGTCGCTGTCAACGCATGCTCCTAAAGCGAGATAGCCTGTACAGCAAAGGACATTAAAGGCGTCCGACCAAAATTGTTCCGTTCGCGCCAGTGTCGGTCGACCCTATGATAATTTTATTTTCGTTTCTCTCTCTCTCTCTCTCTCTCTTTAACTTCTCCTTCAGTTAATCGCACAAACAATACTCAAACGTTGCAATAAATTGCAGACGAATGAATGACGTATATAAAATAATACAAAATATACAAAAAATACGTTAATAAATCAATTACACAATCGATTTTTGTTCGAACGAGTCGGCTTATATGATTCATGGCAACAATAAAGCATTTTATATAGAGATAAAAGAACAGAATATAAATGAAGAGATTAATCGGAATCTAGTCGTGAAATATCGTGACCTTACATGAATGAATCGCGTTGTTATAATAGATAGAGATTCATTTAGCATTCCTGAAAATACACGTTGTGCCATCTTAGGTGAGACTGTGTTCCATAAATCCGCCTTAGTACCTAAAAATAAATTAGCATGTCATTTTTGCGAATGTCAAATGATCATAAATTTGCAGAATAACGCTTAATGTAGGATTGAAACAGAGCATTTTATCTTAGATGTTAGCTTTACCCTGCATGTACAGCCACCACATCTGTATAACGTAAGAACATCGTTCTTTTTCAAAGAACGGTTTGTTATTGTGCCAGCTGAGAGAATCCGCTTCGTTAAGAATATACAAGGAAATTAATCGACAGTGTAAATCGAGCAATCTTTCTGCCACGGCTTCGGCCATTTCATGAAATTCTTTATAAGATTTATTAATTTTTTCGCTGTCAGAAGGAAAACAATGGTAAGATTCAAAGAATCATACATAAGATACACGTTATCAATTTTAAACAAAAAAGATTAATAAAAATGATGAAAGCTTAAATTTAAGTCTTATATTAAAATTGAAGTTCGTCAAAATTTTTCTCAATTATATGATAGTGTAAGAAACATTGTTTTTTTATAGCACTAGCTTTAAAGTGAAATAATAATTTTCTATTTTATTATCGTTTATATAAAATCTATGCTATGTGCATTATATTTTATAAGAAAAAAATATTTTTATTACAGAACTAAATGCTACAGTTTCTACGATGTAAAGCACCTTGATTGAGAAGAGATTGTTCCTTTTGCGTGCTGGCAATAACACCATAAGCAATTTCGTATCAATGCTGCTGCGCCTAAAGTGGCGGTGAGCACAGTGAGATCAGCGTGATCTAAGGATTCCTGAATCAACATGTGCAGGTGTTCTAAAATTTTTTAGACATTGTTTTATCTATTTCAGTATTGAGATAAAATATTTTTAACGATAAATTTGTAAGTTAATGCTACATTTAAATCATATTACCATTCGAAATACAAACGCAATTTTCTTGCCAAAACAAATACACAAAGTAAATTGAAAAAGGGCAAGAATCAATAAAGTACATATATTATTTAATTAAGAGTAAATTTTCTTTAGCAGAAATTTAATTCAAGATCTAATTACAGTCACTGGATGCCGAACTCGAAAAAGATCTTTTAACAAATAAAACTTTCATGAACATGAAACTTCATCGTTGCTTCATCGTTTATCTAACTCACAATATATTTAAAAATAAATATTTCTGTTATTTTTTATTACAAAAATATTTGTATGATTGAAAAATCCGTTCTATTTCTTGTTTCATACTGAAAATAAAATACTGAAATAAAATGTACCTAGTAATTGTTCAGCGGTATCAACAACGAGCAAGATAAAATCAGACGGTTTAATCCTTTTAATGACACCTTCTTCGTTGTCGGTGCCGGACACGCTTTCAGTAGAAGTTAAACCGGAAGCTCGCTTAAAAGCAGCTGTGAAATCCGCCTCCCACCACGTAACAATTTTAATCGCGGCAAACGAGGCGTGCCTTGGAAAATCGAGCTTTCCGCCGCTGATGCGTAGACATAGAGGTTCTCTCAGAACAGTTTGCATTTCCTATATCGAAAATGACGATATTATATGTAGTATATAAACTGCGCGTCAATAACGAAGCGATGTATTTTTAGCGGGCAATATCTTACACAAATTAATTAAATTTCATAAAATTCAATCAAATATCTATAGATCTCGTCATATTTTAATTTAAAAATCATATATCTAGGATGAAACATGGTCATGACAAATAATTGAGTTTGATTTGCATACGTGTATGAGTCATGATTCCATTTTCGACCACCACTAATAAATCAATTTCACCTATAATCAAATAATGCCATACACACAGCAAACGGAATAAATTAAAACGATGCGTTTCCGATATTGCCCCATTTATAAAACTACAGTTATAATTTATTATTAAAAAACACTGAAAATATCAAGCATCACGAAAATAAATGCATGTTGCAGTCTATTAAGTTATTTATAAGACGCGTAGTGCGTAAACGCATAAAATAAAAATTATACGAATAATAGATTATTTATAACGAACTAATTAGTACCTGGTAATATTGCATATCTCTTTGCAATAAAATTCTTACACGATCAACTAAATTCCCATCTTCCATAATATCCATCTTTGCTCTCTATCGAATATAATACATAAAAATGTAAAAGATAATTATACTTTGATAATGCGATTCAATTAGCTTATTGTGCAGAAGCAAAAAATTTAAGTATACTTTACAAACGTGTAATTAAAATAATTCTTCATATAAAATAAATAGAAATGATCTCTCTAATTATTTTAAGCAGAAATTATTTAGATGTAAATTTTATCTTAACGATATTTTAATAAAATAATTATGTAATGTTTAGCAACAAAAATAGAAATAATTTAAAATCATAAAAATAAATGTTTAAATAAATAATAAAATTAAATTTTAAAATTAAAGAAATAAAAAAAGCTTGCTTTAAGAAATACTATATTGGAGAAATGTATCAGAAATTTCATCAGTAATTTATCAAAAAAATTAAACATTAATTTCAAATTTATTAAATAATTTTAAATTAAAATTAAATAATTAATTTAAAATATCCTCTATATTAAAATATAAAATAATAATATATGTTTCATATTATTTATTAAAAATTTGTAATGGAAAGAAAATATTTTATACATAAAATTATTAATTTAATTATAAATAATGTAATAATGCAAAGAGTATCTCAAAAAAGATATTATAAATAAATATACAACACATGTCAATGGTTAAAATTTTTAACCAAATCTAAAAAAATGATTTTTATATATATATATATATATATATATATATATATATATCTATT